TTAATTATCAATGAAGAACAGCAATGACTTTAAAAAAGTATGAATATTTTGCAAGTGTTCCAAATGTATAATCATATTATTTTTTTATTAATTAGTGAGTGATTAAGATGAATTTGTGAGATATTTTTCAGATTTACACGGCACTAGTTTAAGCAATGATTTAAAAACACAACAGTGTGTGAATGCAGAAGTGGCCCCCACACCAAAAACCATATTTTCTTGTTAGTGTTTTTATCTGAAGTCTTAACATGAGTGTATATTTTGACGTGAGACTGATAATTTTACGGAAAACTATATACTTTAAAAATGATTGGAAAATGATAGTGACTTATTGTTCCAACATTTTCTCACCCAACAGTTTTGCTTAAGTAGATACCAAACAAATTCTGGAAATAAATTTTAAAAGAATTTTAAAATCTGTCTTTTAGAGGGGGGAAGTTAATATTAATGCGACCGAGAACTATTCATTGGACCTAATTTGAAATAATAATATAACTATTTWAATTTTAAAGTAATGCTATATAGATCTACCAACTGGCAAGTGTCATATATTAGTTAATATTTTAATACATATTATCAATACCGAACAGGAGTACTCTTTCTTTTTTTTGGCAATAACATCGATGACTGGCTACCCGGATCAAGAAAACCAAATATCAACTTGATCGTATGCGTATTGTTCCTCATTAATTTTTTAGCTGCTACTCAGGACATAGTAATTGATAGTTGGTCATTGAGTTTATTGAAAAAGTGAGTATAAAGCTAAAAGATTTCAATATTACGATTTTACATAATGCTATAATGACCATGATTTTAAAATGTCTTACAGAAATAATGTAAGTTATTCATCAACGTGTAATAGCATAGGTATGGCATTCGGATTGTACATAGGTTCCGTTTGTCCGATTCTTCTCTCATCTGAGAACTTCTGTAACAAATACTTACAATTGGGCTCACAAGAAGGAGGAATATTAAGCATCAAAAGTGGGTAAAAAATATTGTTTGAGATTTCGATGGTATTTTAGAGAAAATATTTTATCGAYATACTTAAATAGACATTGTATTTTTAAGGAATCTTGTTTTAAATTTAAATTCCTTAGCTAAAAAATTGAATTTTTCTTAGTTCATAAATATTAACCACAAATAATTTTCATAATTTGTATGTGATTTGGATGAATTTTGTCCACRTTTGAATTGATAAATAATAAAAAAAAATCACGCTTATATATATCTGTAATATTTATGATATTAATAACTTATGCAGAACATTTTATTATGTTCTCAAACTTTAAACTCAAATTTTTTTTCCGATATTTATATTACGAATGCCTTGAAATTGTTCAAAAAGAGAAAAATATTTTGTGAAAATGTTAAGTACCTATATATGGTTTTTTTTTTAAATTGATGATAGGTGCAATATTTTAGGAAAAAATAATTCATACCTACTACATTCATAATTATGTTTAAGAGGACGTCACACCCGCATGTGTATTGTCTCCGTCTTACAAGTGCGTAACATGGCAAATATTTTTTCACGCGGGAAAGAACCGAGAAACCTACAGATACAACTTACTAAGAAACGAAATTTTCACCATATAAAAAGGAGAATTTCGTCTGTGCAATTTCGTTTTTATTTTTTCGATTTCTCTTATACAAAAAAAGTTCTTATTGTTTCATAATACATTATTTTTGTGTTTTCTAGCATGAATAACATTTTTTTTTTAGTTCTGATATCGAAAAAACAAAAACGATATTRCACAGACAAAATTCTTCTTTTTAAATGGGGAAAATTTCGTTTCTTATAGTTATAACTGTAGCTTTCTCGGTTCTTTCCCTCGCACATGGGCGCCCATAGGTAAAAATTGAAGGAGGGTCAAAATAAAAAAAAACTTAAATGTAAGATACTAAAGAYTTAATGTTATTTCACATATGAATGTAAATATGCATGTTATATTTGTATTGTCATATGTATATATAGGTACAGTTAGTTAAAAAACATTTTTATTAATATAGAACAAAAAATAGAAAATCAAATAATCTAATCTAATATATTATTCCGTATCGGTAAATAAGAACTGCAAATTTCTTCRTTCTATTCCAAACATATTAACGACATCCTGAATGAAAATATCCTTGTTTAYGTTCATTMTTTCAGGATGAAGGCTCATCATACACAACCCATCATATTATTTTTGGTCCAGGGGGGGATAGTGCCCTTGCCCACGCGAAACAGTTTTGCACTTGTAAGACGGAAACAACCCATGCGGGTATGGCGTGGCGTCCTCTTAATAAACCACACGTTTTCGTAACTATAATAAAAAATATTGCATCTTAATCTGAACTTTATACTTAAAAACAAAGAAAAGTATTCTTGATATGTATTTTATAAATTATTGACATAAGTATAATATATAAA